TGAACCCGTGCCCCCTGCATCGGCAGGCGGACTCTCAACCACTGCGCCACCAGGGAAGCCCTAGAGCATAGATTTTAGAGCCACATCATGACCCTTCCATATAGTAGTTCTGTGGCTTATACAAACCACTTAAGAAATAGCCATGATGTCTATAAAATTTATAATCTAGAACCAGCATGTAAGACCTTAATACAAATACCCATAATTATTTAATAAAATGATAACCTCAGAAACATATTTTAGGTGAACATAGAAGATATTTAAAATTATTTGAAGATTTTAAAACCTCTTGAGAAAAATCTGAATCATAACCTTCAATTATTTCAGAGATGAATGATAACTACAAGGAAGAAACAACTAATTATCTGAACTAATTTAGATATTCTATTATATTTTTAAAACTATCTTTAAAACTTATAGCAAACATGAAAATGTTTGGTTTGCCTGCAATTTTCTTTTTGCCACAGAAAAAAACACATAATAGAGACCACAAACGCAATATATATGCAAATTTAAAATTAGCAGCCATCTTATATCCTATTATAAATGGAGTTTCAGAGAGGCTTTCCTTACAAAGATACTTATCATAGTCCAGAAACAATTAAAAATTAAGAAAAAATAAAAGGTACCATTTACTTTTCTCCCAACCTCTGTATTCCACACCCACGCACAGATACCAGAAAGAGCTTTAGTTTCCATACTTAGAAAAAGGATTATATTAAGAAGGATATGCTTATAAAATAATACTGCATTAAAAATTATTTGGGAGTCTATCGTACTAGAGCCCAAAATTAGAAAGAAATTTATATATTTAGATGGGCACTCTTTGCCTGCAAAAGACTTTATGAAGTGTGATCTGTATACCTGCCACGCAATCCCACCCTCACACTCTTGAGCCCACAGAGCAAGATCATTTTATGGCTCCATGCTTTTCACAGTCTATTCTCTCTGCCTCGTATGAATCCCCCTACTCCAATTCTTTTACCCCTTGTAAACTCCCACTCATCTTTGAAAGCACAGGTTGAACAATACTTGATGAAGCCTTTCCCGAAACCCTTCAGGAAGAATTCATGATTTTATCCTCTTTATGTCTAAGGACATCTGTTCACTAGAACAATAAGTATCACTTCTATTATGTTCCCTGAGAGCAAACTGGCTCTAAATTCCAAGTGCTCGCCATTGTTCCTGGCATATACTAAGTGTTCAATGAATATTTTTTGAATGAAGGACTTACTTTCTTGATTCCTCCTTAAAAAGTTTACAAGTATTTCTAGCTATACACATTGAGCAGCAAGCAGACATGGTATAGTTAAAAACTGACAGAATTATTATAGTTTAAATCTGGTTCTTAAATAACTATGAACATTAAAAGTCACAATTTTACATTTCTGCAGCCTAGCTAAATAATGCTGCTTCTCCTCTAATTAAGCCTGGATATGGTGACCACACTGGGAAGTTTAAAAAAGTTTTCTAAAATAAAGTGTCCACATTCCAGGCAGAGAAGGTGCCATTCTTGGGGACGTTCAAACACTTTCAGGAGCACTTGATTCACTAAACCATTTCAGTGAAAAATCAATAGTGTACACTTAATATCTGTTTTCACATTATTTAACGTAATTGTTGTGTTCAAAGGGGTTCTTTTAAAAAAATCTCATCTACCATTAACTTTGTCATGAGAGAACAAACAGATACAAAATATTAATTATCCTTCCCTGCTGTGAATGCATAATGCATTCTTATGTAAAGCAACAGTACCACAAATAGTATTATGATAATAAAAAACTAGTAATTCTATGTTGCAGACCAATGACTATGATCATATGCTATGGTAAAGTTGAGAACTTAATGTGTGTATCATGTAAGTTACTAGGTCAACTTGGTAAAGAGGCAAATAAATTCATATGTGAGATAATATAAAAATCTATTATCCCATTAGAGTTCCTTTAAAACATTAATAATGTTTTGTTAAGTTGCAAAAAGAATTCATAATATTGAAACCCCTATAGTTTCTTAATATAATTGTTTACTTTTACTGCTGATTAACACAAGATATCTACATAGACAACCCAAGTCAAAATAAATAAACTTATTTCACCTATTTTTCCTATAAATACTAAAGATACATGTACTATTTATAGAACATGTACATTTTTTCAAAGTACAAATCTGAAATATGAGAATTTTCCTCAAATGTCAAGACAATATATTTATTTTAATGTATATTCTTAAAAATAGCAATTTTCTATCATTTTTCCTGGGCCTGTTTTCAAATGAGAAATGACTCTCAAAGGAGAAATTGAAGTATGAATGATACACAGGACAACAGAAACCCATCAAAACTTTACTGATTAAAAAATTTTCTTATCTATTTCAGATGCGTTGGCAACAGGATTTTTCCCTTGGGAATTTATAATTGGTAAATTAGCCAAAGAAAAGAATGCTTCAAAAATTTCTTATCATGCAGTTGTTTGCTTTTGCTTCAAATAAACAAAACATCCAAAATTCATGCAGTACCAATAGGTTAAAATCTCCTAAAATCTTGCAAGTGAGGCACATATTGACATAATCTGCTATTTCCCTTAAAACAGAGACCTTTCCAAACACCGAATAAAATTTTAATCCCAGAGAATAAATGCCTTAAAAAACTATATCCAAAACAACAACTTTTAATTTATTGTATTTCTTGTTTCAACTAATTTTTAGAGCTCTTTAGAAAAAAAGTAGCAATGTGCATATATTAATATACACTTTAATTACTGCCTACATTTTCTAAAGAAACTGGCAACAACCAATTAATCAGTTGGTGTTTTAATGTGAGAGCGAAAATACACATATTATGATAGGGAAAAGCCATTTACTTAACCATGAAGTGAGACTGCCTAGGCCAATGTTCCTTGGAACTAAGAATGCCAAGTGGTGCTATGTGTAAAACTATGTGCAAAAAATTCTTTAGTCCAGTGAAGTTTGCGAAATGTCTGTTCAAAAAAGTTAAATAGGTAGTGAAGGAATTCCCAGAGCGGTTAATATGCTAATGTCCATTCTAAATCACATCATATGTCATAATAGGCAGAATTTTCCAGAATACTTAATAATAAAATCTTTTTTCCCCTTTTTTTTTTTTTGCAGAAAGAGGGGAACATTCCTGTCCATTGACTTCAACTAGGTCTTGATGTACCTTTTTTTGGTACACATACTCCTTAAGTGGCTTTGTAGCAATATATTCAGGGCCCTCAAACCAAACATTTTTTGGAGCTTTAATAGAATGACTCCTTTAGCTACTTTACCTTAGTTAGAAATTTACATTTCTCTTTTACATTTGGGGTTGTTTCATTTGTTTTCTAATTTTCCACTTTCAGAGAAAGAAGTACCAACCTGAACGCTTCAAGGTACTCAGTATCTCCCATGGGGGGATCAAGGCCACCTGTCCAGGCAATATTTATATTGTATCCTTCTCCAAGGCCTGTTCCAACCTAGGAAGAGAAAAACCACACCACAGTGGGTAGAGAAGAGCGCAGGGAAGAAGCAAGAACAGAGGAAAACAAACACGTGTGAGCTCTTGAAATAAACATCAAACAACATGTCAAATCAGCCCAACTTTGCTTGACAACCAGTGCTCTGGGTTATGCACTTGTTCTGCACTAGTTCCTGGTCCCGTGGGACAGTTCAGTAAATCTTGTGTAATTTAAAACACCAGCAAAGGACAAGAAAATTAGGGGTAATCATGCAATGCAATTACCTGAAAGATACAAATAAAAGTGGGGCTCTAAAGAAATAAACCGAACCTCATTTGGGGCTCCACTGCCAGGGAAAAAGTTCCCTTCATCATAGCGATGGAGTGAAATATACAGGATGCTGGGGTCAGCATAAAAGGCCTGCTGTGTACCATTTCCATGGTGAACATCCTACAGGGGGGAAAAAAAAAAAAACAGATGACAAATACAGTCGTGTCTCACTCTGTGTGGAGACAACTTTTCTAATTTCTAGTTCTCTGTCTTTCTACCCCACCCTCCTTCTCATTTGCTGTCTTGTATGTCCCTCTTTCTTTCTCCTGTTCAGCTTGCTTCCACACCACCCCCTTTACTTCCTGAACTTTCAGGCAAATTACCCTTTAATGCACTCATTTTTTAAACTGGCTTCTAAAAATCAGGAAACCACAGCAAACATGCCCTGGAGACTCCAGATGAGCAGTCATTGAGAAAGCCCAGTCCTTTGGTACAATTAGATATTTATACACCGGCCCTTTGTACTCTTTGCTTCAGTGATGGAATCTCACATCCTGTTTTATGGAGGAATTTTATGACTTATTAACTGCCAACAGTTCATAACCCCTTAGGCTTAATTAACTAGCCTCATTGGCCTCTGAAGAAAGACTAATGTTTAAACTACAAACTAGTATTCTGCAGAAGGATCTATGGCTTACAGAGCATTTTCGCAATTCTTGACAGAACACTAAACATACGTGTATGCATTGATTTGCCAAGTCCCACCATTAAGGTCAAAGGCTTTGCAACCAGCTGAGTAAATTGGCTTTCTTGAAGCGTTCAATTCAGTTAGCAGTCCCTCAGCAGTTAGAATGACTTCAAAAGAGATGCCAGATGCAAAAAGGACTTCATACTTTATTTTGGTAAAATCGTGAAGGCAAGAGTCAAAGACACAGGAGCGTGAGTTCATTACCTATTAAATCATTTGGGCCAAAGCAGAAAGATGGCATGGGCCTTTATGCAATCTTGTCCAATCTGCCTAAGTTTAATATTATATTATGGCTCTCTTCCCAGCCTCCTCCTTCCTATTTTTTCTTTCTCCACACCACTCCCCCTTCCCACAGGAAAAAAAAAGGGGCCTGTTTCATTAAAATGAAAGAAAAAAAATTCTTAGGACATTTGTATTTGATAATGATTCAAGACTTAATAGTTCTTTTTTTCTAATTGTTTTATGATATAAACATGCTGGAATTGATAAAAGATATAGGAAAAATAAAACCAATAGCATTTTTAAAAACGTCCTTACTAAAAGACCCCAAGTGTCAAGAGTCTCAGTTAATATGGTTCCTAATAGCTTCTGAACAAGATAAAATAAATGACTCATAAAAGTGAATAACCTATATATTTGTATTTAATATAATATTACTGCTACATGTGTAACATTTATAGTTTCAGCTTCTGTTATAAAAAAAAGTATTGGTCACTTGTAACTACTTACTTACACTGTACTTTATTTTATATCAGGAAGAATCACACTATTTTCAACAATGATTCCTACAATTTTTGCGTCAGGTACCATATTAAACATCTTGCATAGATTATTTAACATTTATATGCGGTATATGATATTATCGCTGATTTAAAAGGTAAGTAGACTGAGACTTGGAGAGCTTCAGTTATTTTTCAAGACAGGGTCTTGAATCCACTTCTCACTCCAAAGGCCAAACTCATAACCATTATGCTGTTAACTTACACTTACATTCATTATCTCTTTGATCTTCTTAGAAAACCTATGAAGTGAGACTGGTGGTCATTATTGCTCCTTATTGAGGTTTATATAACTTGTCTCCACTTCAACCTCCAGCCAGAACTCCCTCACTAGACACTTCGAAAACCTCCTTTTGGTGGGTTCTAAAAGCAGTGAGCTTGCTATCCACAGTGTAGACATACACTAATCTTCCCCCCTTTTACATAGTACACATACCCAAAATCAATTAAGGAATCATAAAATATTTGGAAAGAAAGGCATCTTTCCAGAAACTTGTACTGACTAAAGGCATACACACATATCAGGAAAAAAAAATAGTTTACTGGAAAATATATATAGTAATTCTTGGATTTCTGACCGTTTAAAGGAAAGGAAGGAGGAAATAGCAAAACTTGTCCTTTATGAGAACAAAAATGATACAATTTAATCCACAATGTCTTGAATTTGCTACTGGATACCTAGAGGATGGACAAACAAAATATTTTGAAAAATAACAGTGATAGAATGTTTGCATTGCTACTACAGGATAGAATTTTTAGTCAGCGTTGTAAGAAAAATTTTTCACTGGGCCTAGATACATCCACAGTTTGAAAACCAAAAAACTATTGCCTTGATGTTGTAAAGGTTTATGTAAGAAGGTCAAATAAAAGATAATTTGTCTTAGATATAAAATAATATGTTCTTCAAAAATGTGTTGGGTGCTTATTGTTGCACAAATTTCAGAATAAGAAATATACTCTTGCCCACAGCACAGTAAGGTTTCAACAGATATTATTTATTAAAATTCACAAACCCATTCTAAAAATACTTGGATAATTCTTGATTCCATATTTATATTCACAAAGCATTTAGAGATAAAGGTAAGTCCAAATGTGCCTTTTGTTTTGGGCAACAACTTATAATTTTGAGAGTATTTTTCCAGTTTCTCTGAAAATATAAATACAAACTACTTACTGGTCAGATATGATCTGAGGATTTTTTCTCCACAGGAACAAATATATACTATATCAATATAAGACAATTATTGGTGATTATGAGGACTTACTATAGTAAGGAAATGAACCAAATCATCAACAGCCTCAAAATAGATCTTGTATCTAAGATTTGCTGGGAAATACTGAAAAATAATTTCGCTATTTTACTGGTTAACGATATACTGTGAAAATTTATTCTATACAAGGATTTAGAGCCAACATGTTTTCACTACAATGTTAAAATAGCTCTGAATAAATTATATATTCTATCAACTAATGTTATCACTTATAATTATTTAGTACGGGCACTTGCAACAATCCTTTGGTCAAGTTTGGTGCTTGACCAAAAATGGAACTGCCTAAAATCTATGGACATTTGAAGTGTCTTTTTTTTTTTTTTTTTTAATGAAAATAGCCTAAAATATATTATTTTCGACTGAAAGTCACATTACATAAAAGCTACCTGAGTCATTCAGGCAAATCCTACTTCTAGGACAGGTTCACGCCCTGAACACAACGGCCAGTCTCTTGCAAGCTGAAAAGCAAGTGCACCTGCTCTCTTTTCTCACCAATCTGCGTATCTTTGGAATCTTCCCCAGAAGAAGAACTGGAATGAATAAGCTCCACAGATCAACTAGAATCATTCCTGCCTAAAATACTCAACGCCTCTGATATTTGGCTGTGGCTTCAAATAGGGGGTGAATTAGAGCTCTCTGTTACTAGGCATCTAAAAAAATGTGGAATCTAGCTGCTCAAACAATGGAGTAGCTCTGCCTTCTGTTGGCCTAGGAATTGATGGAGCTGGTTCATACCATTTAGCTAAAGTTAGTGACTTTGTATATGCAGGAATGAAGTTCTTCTGCCACTGAAGAACCTTCACTTTTCCTCTGCTAACTTGCAGAACAGACCTGTCAGCCAGGGAGAACGGATGTCTCAGCGCCACGTGGCACTTTAAAACTTCCTTCTCGGCAGCTGGAAGAAACAGGGGAATTTCCTCAAAGTATCCCTGCAGCTGCAGAATTTGGAAGACTTGAAAGTAAGAATATGAGGGCTGGTGGTGATCTCAGAGGCAACCCTTTGGACAGAACTTCATACGTTTAGAGAATATAAAACAAAAACTTCTCTTTTACTATAGCCTGTTGGGAAATCAGTATCCTTTACGTGGGATAATGGAGCAAATTCATAATCAAAGGCCAGTAAGCTTACAGGACACTCCTTATAGCTACCAAGCAACTTAATTTATAAATCATATCAAATTACATCCAACAATCTTTTATTCTTATATTCATGTACAAAAACAAAACCTTACACACAAACCCTCTGAGGTACAAAATATTCATCTATCACAAGCCAGGCATTTTAGCCTTCAAGTCTCTTGTACAATTCATTGCTTTAGAGTTTGGATGTCACAAATGTGGTTTTAAAGAGCCTCTTAACAGTTATTATCTTCATAGTAGAGAGATTCCTCAGAAAGTAATACTAAAAAATTCTTAAGGATAGGGTGACAGTTTAACAATCTCCTTCCTGAATAATTGTGACAAATTTAGAAAGCATAGAAAAATTTTCCCACAATCCTTGGTCTTCGTCTGCTACCTTTCTTCAAGTTTTTCGCTTATCTTTCGAGCAAAACTTAAGAGTTCTAGAAACATATTAAATATTTTTTAAATTTACCATCTTATAAATCATGCAAGCCAATGATTATTAATTATTTAAAACGTCATTTTGTATATACATGGGAAAATAGGTACTGATGTCCTCATTTTTGTAAAATTTTAAGACCTTGCTGCTGTAGTATATCTAGGCCTTCAACACATTTCTTTAATGTTGAACTACGACCTATACTGAAACTTAAGCATGTTTGGAAAATACATGGGAAGTTGGGTTTCAATACTCTCAGCACCAAAGAACTTGCAGAAAGGCTACACTACAGGATGTGGAAAATAACCATTCCTACCAAACAGTACAAATGGTTATCAGTCTTTCATTCCTTTTATCTTCATTTTAACTTGACTAAGTATTTCTTCACATGGCTTGGTTTGTGCTCTCTCGACCCTTTGGTGTGCCTGCTTAACTGAATCGGAGGGCAGGACAGGGAGGCCACGACTTCCCAATAAGATTTAATTATGAGTGCAGATATGAACAAGATTTAGACTATTAAGCTTTGCACTTCAAAAAAAACTTTTAACATATTTTGCCTTTAAATCTTTTATCACCTGCAAAAATTAATTAAGTGCAGATGTAGCAGGTTAGCTTTGGATGCCAGGGTTCATTTCCTGTCTATGCTTTGTCAGACAACCTATTACACCTCCTCGTGAACTGGAGGCAAACCAAAAACGGGGCTCATAAATCACCAGTCAGCTCTCTTTCACCCTTTCCTGGGTTGGTCCTTTTGTATGGGGCAGATCTCCAGCTCATTATTCACAAATATACTATAGACAACCTGCCAAGTGTCATCTGCATTTAAACAAACCATTTGTTAAACTAATTATAACTCCATTGTGTAAGAATGCATCATGTTAAAATGCAAGACTAATCTAATGCCTCTGACTTTTAATCACTCAGGGTTCCTGCCGGGAGTCATCCCAAACTGGCATACATGATCTGAGATCTTTTCAGAAAAAATGACATGCTGACTTGTTTTAATAATACCACTGTTGCACAACAAGCAATATGATTGCTAACCAGGGGAAGTGGCCAATTGGTTACCAAAGCAACAGCATTCTTTCCAGCACATCTGACTATTTAAAGTCTATATTCTGCAGGGAAAAGTAAATTCAGGTTCTGTTGGGTTATTTTAACTGTGGAAGTATCAATTCATTTAAGCATCATAAAAGTTGCCCTGATCTGCGCCTTCTTCTCATTAAATTGCAGTTAACACCATGAAAGTGAAACGTGAATGTTTATGGTTTCAGAACTACAATCCTGAATTTAATGAGTTTCCACATTCAAAGGAAACACACCCTTCAGTTGTTTGCAAGTGCGAAAAGCAAGGCAACCTAAAAGAGAAATACAAATACACTCCCTTTTATCTAGAGTCACTGAAAATGCAGCTCTGGCCAGGAATACATACCAGATCTACAATCAATATCTTGCTTATATTTAGTTGGTCTCTCAAGTATTTGGCGGTAATTGCAACTGAATTAAAAAAGCAGAACCCCCTGCGGAATAGAGAAGAACAGAGAAATAAGAAAGCAAATCAGCCAGGAAAACCATTATAAATAATGTTCAGAGCATTTTTTAAAATGCTATATGATCTCTGAAGCCATAAATCTGCTTCTGGGAGTACCTCGCAAGATTTCTCAGTCCATCTGCTAACAATTAGAGGCTTCAGAGACATGCACGGGGCAGGTGACCGCCAGGAACCGTGGCGCTTGGAGATGGGCAACAGTCCCTGGTACTTACATGGCTGTGGATTCTTCAGCGTGATGGCCTGGGGGCCTCACAACAGCAAATCCATTCTGTAAGAACAAGACAGATTTTCATTGATCAGATAGGAGAGGATTGCTTGGATCTCCATGTACTACAGAGCATCAGGCACACACAAAAAGACTGAAATCTGTAAGAGGCTTCAGAGCTTGTTTTCTTGCCCCCATTACCATTTCACAGAATGAACAGAAACAATACATATGATCACATTTTCTCAGATCATGTCTCAAAAAGAAGGCTCCCACAGAGCCAGGGGAAGAACGGGGATTTGGGAGTTGTACCTAGCTGGCAAATGTGTACATCAGCTGTTACACTAGCATGATTCATTTTCAAGAACAACTTCTCATTTTATGACACCAACATCCTAGAGAGGGAGAACAAATTCATTTTCGGTGCAGGTTTGGGTCAAAGTTCGGAAAGACCATGGAGTATCCAAAGTGAAAATTCTTTAGCTGGATTTCCTCAATGATAATTTCCACTCCAACGTCAGCAAAATGATAAATTTACACTCACACACTCACATACACACAAAAGAAACCCCAGAAAGGTGAAAAAGAGAACAATGGAAAGCCCATATTTCTTCCAGTCTATAAATTTAGCTTGGATGACTGCCAAGACTTGCAACTTTATTGGATTCCCTAAGTCAATTTCTAGCCCACGTTCTGGAATTTTATAAAGAATTCCAGGGCTGAGTAGCAATCAGATCTATCCATGATCAAGGAATGCCTTAACCTCCAGATTAGTTGGAATGCATCACGGAAAGCTGAAGTAACTCCAGCATGAAGGCAGGGAACTATAAATCCTTGCAAAGCCAGCATGCTCAGAAAAGCTGGGCTGCTTGACGTGAAAAAAGAAATCATTTATCAGATGGCTCACACCACCTTTCACTTAACTATGATACAAGTAACATGCTCAGGACAGAATGTTTCTTTAATATACAATCCTAAAACTTTTGAAATAATTTTAATATACCCCAGGGATATTTTTTCCCAGATCTTACTACAAGCATAAAGATAGTCTCAAGAAAAATAACCTATTCCCAAAGGCTGTAAATATACATAAATTTTTCTAGAACATAATGGTAATTAACACACAATGAGTTAATTTGCTATATATTTTGATGGGCATATACATAATGATAATCCCAGAAGCAAATTAGAAGTCAATAACACAATACCAATTACAAATCTAGGAATAATGATAAACATACTCCCTATGCTTGTTCTCAAGCAAGTTACTATCTCTGTGGCTATAAAAGATTAATATAAAAGAAACTATTAATGAACAACACAAGACAGTAGAGAGTGCAATTTTAAGATTGTGGAGTGAAACTCTAGAGTGCTACATGACTTCTGAGAATGGAGAATTCTGTAAAGATTAGATATGTGCGATATGTTTTACTGCGAAAACAGTAGTTAGGGTGAAAATAACAACCAATATAATACAAAGCAAGATAATTAGCATGTAACAAAATTTTACAATTAGATTAACAATACTAATGATCTTTTATAATTCAATTAAAAATACTATGTTTTGTGTATTAAAGGGAATGACTAGACAATACAAAGGAGAAAACATCCAGTAATCAATAACTATAAGAAAAAATATTCACCTTAATTAGTAATCAAATACAAGCAGATGAAAATCCCAATGGGAAGCCATTTTTCCACTTAGGACATTAAAACTTTAAAAAATATTCCATGCTGACAATGGAGGGGTGCCTATATACTGATAAATGATGTATGCAGGAGGATAATTTATTATAGTCTTTCTGGAAAATAATCTACCTCTATACATTTAGAGCCTTTATAAAACATTTACCCTTTGAACTAGTAATCTACTTAAAAGATTTTTGCTCTAAAGGTGTTATTAATTGTGTAGACAGGTATTTATGTAAAAGATAATGTTTTATTTACAATAGGAAAAATGGGAATTATCTAAGTTGGTTAATATTAGGAGAATGGTTAAATGAAATATGGTACATCTATACCACAGAATATTAGAGAGCCATTAAAATTTTGTTATAAATATTTAGTGGAACAGTAAAGACTTAGCAATTTACAAGTACTGGTGTTGAAAATAATACATACAGCATGATATATCTGAGTGACAGTATTACGTGGATTATATTTAATTTATAATTTCAAGTATTTTCCAAATGGTTTTACAAAAAACGTCAATTATTTCAGAATGAAAAAATACTATAAAACAAAGAGAAAGTTGAGAGGTAAATTTTAAAGGGTCTTACAAGAAGAGTTGTGTTCATAAAGGTGAAAAAGGACTTAAATGGTATTCTGGGCAGGGGGAAAAGCATAAACATGGCTCAGAGAAAAAGGGTTTTAGAAAGTATTATGTACAGAAAATGAACCTGAATAGAGCTCATGTTCATGTTAAGGGAAAAAAAATGGAAGTGGAATCATACAGGTAACTAGCTAGATTATAGAAGACAAAAAGCCAAGCAGAATTTAATTCCATCTTCTTCTTTTCTCTTTTGGCCAAATTCCTTGAACAAAAAGTCTGCCTTTCACTTTACAGTTGTCTTCAGTCACCTCTACCACTTTGCTCAACTACGTGATTTTAGATCGAAAATTATCTTCTTTCCAATAACAAATATTTTCTTAGTTATCATGATCCACCCAAACTTTCCAATGTGTTCTCAGGAATGGCAAACTCCCCTACATTTTCCAAGTCTTTTCTGAGGGGCCCCCGCCTTTCATTAGTTGAAACCTGGCAAGGCTGCTTCTCCCATAATATGCTCAGGTGGTAGCTATTTCCTCTCTCACATCTCACCAACCTGCCTGCAGCAGAAGATGGAGCTTGTGTTCTCCTTTCTCATGGCTGCTTTGAGACCATGAAGCCCACTGCACCAATGCTCCACAACACTTTCTTGTAAAACAGGATTAGATCACCCAGAAAGAGAGAAGACAGAACACAATTAAGATGACTGAGTCCTGGGGTAGTCCAGCTCTCTTTCCCTCCTGTTGGACTAGAGGAGTTGTTAGTCCTGCTAGAATCTATCACCTGCGGTTAGGATACCATCCCCTCCTACTTTTCCACTATCATTTATGTTTTCCTCACTAACATATTAAATTCATATTAAAATCCCCAATTATATACATTTCATCAAGATTTAAATAGGCTCAAGTTCCTGCCATCTTAAAAATAAAATTATATATATGTTAACTAAGACAATACAAATACACACACCCACACTATATATATACATATATATATACATATATATATGTATATATATATATGTATATATATATATATCCATCCTTACTTTGATTGACCCTTCTAACCGCCACATGTCTTTTCTTCCCCTTTAAAACTCTTGAAAACGTGGTCTGACCTGCTTTCTCTTTTTGCCTTTTCCTCACCTCTGCCTCAGTCACCTATCTCTAACTTATCTTCCACCTCCATTAGTCCATTAATGAAGCTTTTACTAAGGTCACCAATAGCCTCCACGTCATTAAATCTAATGAGATTTTTATGCTCTCAGGCTACTTGGTCTCATTAGCTTTCAACACTACTGGCTACACCTTCCTTTTTAAAAGATTCTCTTCTGTGACTTCATACTCTCCTGGTTTCTTTATCTCTCTTTCAACTTCCTAATCAGTCTCCCTTAAGGCTCATACTCCTCAATCTGCTCATTAAATACTGAAGTTACTCAAGGCCCAGTCTTAGGCTTCTCCTCTCCTCTTTCTATACTTACTTCGTAGGCAATGGCACAACTCTCACGGAATTCAATTACTACCCATCATCAGATACTTCACAGATTTTTATTTCCAGGATGAACCCTGCTCTGAGCACCAAAATACCAGCCCACTTCCTTGATATCTTCGCTGGGATATACCAAAGTCACTTCAAATTCAGAATATCCAAGATCAAACTCCTGATCTTCTCGCAGCCTTCCCTAACTTACCAATGATACCATGATTCATCCAGTAGCTCAAGTCAGGGACCAGTGAGTTATCCTTAATGGCTCCTTCTCCCTATTGTTCTTCTATCTCATTTTAATTCATGACCAATTCCTGTTGATTTTGCTTTTAAATATCATTCAAACCTATGTACTTATATCTATATCCATTCCTTGAGTATTTTGCCTTTGGAATTTCTGCCTTTGTCTCCATCACTCAGTTAAATTTCTTAGCGATTTCAATAACCACACAGAATATCTATTCAATATCATGATTTCTTAGTTCTCTGACTCCTTGCCTTCCATAAATTTGTCTTCTATTTACAGCCATACTCCTACACCTTGCCATTACCGATAAATAACGACATCTCCTCCAAAATCTCAATGTCAAATATCCTACTCTCCTACTCTCCTATTTTCCAGTTGAGGCTTCAGCAGCACTGGACTTCCAATTCTTTGACGTTACTTAACTTTAAAACAAATTTTTTTTTTTATGTGGACCATTTTTAAAGTCTTTATTGAATTTGTTACAAGATTGCTTCTGTTTTCTGTTTTGGTGTTCTGGCCACGAGGCATGTAGGATCTTAGCTCCCCAACCAGGGATGGAACCCGCACCTCCTGCATTGGAAGGTGAAGTCTTAAGCACTGGACTGCCAGAGAAGTACTGACCTTACTTAACTTTTGATGTGCATCATTCAATCCCTAACACCATGTTCCCTTCCCTCCTTATCTGACTTAGACTTCACAGTCCATTATTATATTTACTTCCTTGCATATATTTTTAGACAACTTGTCCTTTTTTCCCTCCAACATACTCCCCTGGTGTATTGGTCTGCTAGGCTCCCAAAATAAAATACCACAGGCTGGGTGCCTTAAACAACATAAGTTTATTTCTCTTAGTTCTGGGGGCTGGAAGTTGAGATTAAGGTTTGGCAGGGTTCAGTTTCTGTTGAGAGCTTTCTTCCTGGCTTGCAAATCCATCTCCTTTGTCCCTGGAGTCCTCACTCAACGCCATTCTCTGAGTGCATGTATACAAGCACAGAGAGAACTATGGTGTCTCTTCCACTTCTTATAAGAACACCAACCCTATTGCATTAAGGTCCCAC